ATCAGGACAGGCCGCAGTGTCATTGCAGGGAACATCTGAATGCACCGAAGACACCAGAAATTTTATAAACAGTTAAATAAAATGCTAGTTTTATACAGTGTCTGTGTGTGCTGTATTCAGAGCTTTGATCTACCTTGTGTAACAGCCACATTCTGACTGCTGATCAGTTTGACAGGCAGCTTCTCGAACCAAGGCTTAGAGCCTGAAGGTTCGTCACAAGACCCAGTAGCAACGTTACATGTCGTACCGTTAGGACAGCAGTGAATGAAGTCGTCACAACACACGGCCTATTGAAAAAAATTAATATACACCTTTAACTTAATGCAAAACACAACTCTACATCAGGATTGGTTATATTCAGTGGGTGAATTACCTCTGGCAGAGGACAGCAGGCCCATCCTCCTTCTTTAGTCTTACAGCATGTGGTTCCATCAGGACAGGCCGCAGTGTCATTGCAGGGAACATCAGAGGCTGAAGGTACAGAGAGTAATCAGAGTTTTATGTTAAATGTGTACTTGTGTGTTCGGTTTCAGGGCTTTGGAGTGTTTGTTGACTTACTTTGTTTGTCTTGACTGATGATTGGCTGCACAGGCACCTGTTCCACCCAGGGCACACCAGAACATGAAGGGTCCTCACACGTCCCAGCAGCAACGTTACACTTCTTACCATGAGGACAGCAGTGGATGAAGTCGTCACAACAAACGGCCTACAGAACAAAGTTAAGATGTTCTTTTAACTTAGTACACAAAATTTGAATACTTACAAAAAAACAAAACTGTTTCATGGTGCTGGATGTTTATCATATCTATATATCAAGGTATTTCCAGGTATTTCTAAGAAATAAAAAAGAATAATATAATTGTCCTCTGGAATACCATGTGTATGTTTTTGTTACAGAATTGTCCAGTTATTTATAATTCAAGACAGAGGTTTTTAAACTTTTTGCTGCCCTGGGACCCTAAAATTGATGACTCCTTGAAATATATTAAATTTACACTATAGTTTAAAAGTTTGGGGTCAATAAAATATGTTAGGAAATTATTTATTTTATTGAGCAAAAATGCATTAAGTTCAATCAAAAGTCACAGTAAACGCATTCATAATATTACAAAATATTTAGATTTGAAATAAATGCTGTCCTCTCAGTTTTTTATTCATCAAAGAATCCTGAAATAAGTATCATGTTTCCACAAAAATATTAAGCAACACAGCTGTTTTTTACATCGATAATCATAAGAAATGTTTCTTGAGCAGCAAATCATCATACTAGAATGATTTGTGACACTGAAGACTGAAGTAATGATGCTTAAAATTCAGCTTTGCCATCTCAGGAATAAATGACATTTTAAAATTTATGAAAATAGAAATAAGATACATCAAATTGTATTAATATTTCATAAAATCCCAAACTGTGTTTTTTGATTACATACATGCAGCATTGGTGAGCATAAGATAAATCTGTCAACAGCAAAAAAACAATACAAACTTCTGAATAGACATGCATATGGTCAAATGATTAAAATATTATCTAAAATATCTATGTTAGATGTGTAACTTTTAAAACAAATAAATACTTTTACAACCTACATCTGTTTTTTCTTACATTTTCTGTGGACCTTGTGATGCATATAACCCCGTATCAGGTGTCCCGAGATTGAGTTCCAGCTCGTAGACCTTTCCTGATCCCATCCCTCCCACTATGCTTCCTGTCTACCTACTGTCCTATTGTAATAAAAGGCAAATTGCCAAAAATAAAATTTAAAAAACCTGAGGACCCCCAAGCATCCCCAGTGCAAACAGTAGAGACAAGTTCTTGGTGAAATCTAATGGCTGAGCTAAGTGTCCATAGGGTACAATGCACTGATTCTGCTGAAGTAGTAAATCAGGTGAGGTGATTTACCTCTGGCAGAGGACAGCAGGCCCATCCTCCTTCTTTAGTCTTGCAGCATGTGGTTCCATCAGGACAAGCCGCAGTGTCATTGCAGGGAACATCAGAGGCTGAATATAAAGAAGGCAATGACAGAAACAGTTTGAGAAGTGTTATTATTTATGTGCACATATAAAAAATGTATGCATTGCCATCTAGAAATGTGCACATACTCTTTGGTAGTGCACCAGGCAATGTAGTTATTTGCTTGCCAGCAGTAGTGATTTGTCTGGTTGTAGTGAGTTCAGCTTTAGTCCTCATTTCTGCAGCTTTTGAAGAATAAGGGCAAAGATATGAAAATGCTGAACTGCATTGATGGAAGTTATCAGAAAATTAATAACTCGCTGGGATAACAGCCTACGTTTGTGATCTTCCCATTCAGCTCTAAGACGTGCAGGGAATTTGGCCCACATAGGCAGCTTCTGATTGGTGGAGGACATACATTTGGAGCCTTCAACATCACAGACACTGTCCTCTGGACAACAGTGGATTTTATCGTCACAACATACAGCCTACAGAAACCACAAACGACAGAGGAAAGAATGCAAGTGAAAAAAAACATTCATGAACAAATTAAGAAATGTTTATTCAGCAAGGATCCTTGAATTTGATCAAAAGTGACAGGAGAGGCTTTTATATAGTTACTAAAAATTATTTTCAAATAAATGCTGCTCTTTTGAACTTTATATTCATCAAAGAATCACAGTTTCCACAAAAGTATTAAGCAGCACAGCTGTCTTTATCATTGACAGTAATTAAATCAGCATATGTGACCCTGGACCACAAAACCAGTCATAAGGGTCAATTTATGAATAAATAAGATTTCCAATGATGTATGGTTTGTTAGGATAGGACAATATTTGGCTGAGATACAACTATTTGAAGATCTGGAATCTGAGGGTGCAAAAAAATCTAAATATTGAGAAAATCGCCTTGAAGTTGTCCAAATGAAGTTCTCAGCAATGCATATTACTAATCAAAATTAAGTTTTGATTTATTTAAAGTAGGAAATGTACAAAATATCTTCATGGAGCATTATCTTTCCTTAATAATGATTTTTGGCATAAAAGAAAAATCTATAATTTTGACCCACACAATGTATTGTTGGCTATTGCTACAAATATACCTGTGCTACTTATGACTGGTTTTGTGCTCCAGGGTCACATATTACAATGATTTCTCAAGGATCATGTGACACTAAAGACTGTGGTAAGGAAAATTCACCTTTGCCATCACAAGAATAAAGTACATCTAAGTTAAAATATATGACAGAAGTACACTAGTTATGACGAATAAATATTAAAAAAGTGTTTTTATTTTAAAATAAAGAAGAAAATTTTGTTTCAAAATGTACATTCATTTAAATATGTTTCTCAGACTGTGAAAAAACAGCTTTCTGAACTGAGAACTCTATGACAACATGTCTCTGCACATATTACTGTATTTCAACTTGGCCAATACCTTTGGCATGGGGCAGCACGCCCACTGACCATCTTCTGTCTCACAACATGTGGTGTCTACGGGACACTCTGAGGTCCCATTTCCACAAAGAACAGCCTTGACTGGTTCTACAAACAATCACAGGACAACACCATGAGCTGCACGTATATCCTATCCAAATTAATACAGTAAATCTCTCCGTTAACCCATTATAAATTTATATGGGATCTCCTTTAAAAAAATTATGTTTTAATCATGAAACGCTCTAGTCCACATCTTCCATACCTTTTAGTTTGACACAGGAACTGCTGTCTGCACTGCATTCATGGTCTTTTGGGCAGCAGTGTTTCCCGTCTGAGCACACAAGGCCCTGAGAAAGAGAAACATTGTATATATTCTTATACATACTATATAGTATATATTCTTATAAAACAAAAAAAGAATAGAAAAGAGTATATATCCAAGGTGTCTATGTTTTAGCAACACCACACTTCTTTTGTGACCAGATGAGAGGCCTTTCAATACACCCTGTCATGGACTAGGAGCTAGTGGTTTGGGCCCAGGTTCCTGTAATAAATGTAACTTACCTGTGCTACAGGACAGCACCCATATGATGAAGCCATCAGCAGACAGGAGAACTCAGCAGGACAGAAGGAGCCATCAGGACAGGTGATGTCGTCTTCACTTGCAGGTAATGAGGGAATCATTCTGAAGGACTGAGGAATGGGGATTGTTAAAGGAATAGTTCACCCAAAAATTAAAATTATGTCATCATTTACTCAGCCTCATGTTGTTCCAAACCTGTATCAGTTTGTTTCTTCTGTTGAACACAAAAGAGGATATTTTAAAGAAGGTTGGTCACCAAACAGTTGACGGTAGCCATTGACTGAAAAACATACTCAGTGGCTACCATCTTTTTGGTTACCAACATTCTTCAAAATATCTATTTTTTATGAGGTTGAGTAAATGATGACAGAATTTAAATTTTTGGGTAAACTATCCATTTAAGACATAACAAGCAGCTTTGAGTACTCTTTTTTTAGACTCCTCATACTGTATAATTTCTCACTTTGGGAAGGTCTGTCCGTTTAGCCGGTATCCTCTCCACAAACAGCAGTGTATGTGTGGCGTTTATACACATGGAGTCCATAACACTGCACAACATGTCTTCAGGACAGCAGTGCAGGTGGTCCTCACAACACTCTCCCTACACACACACACACACACACACACACGCATGAGCTGATTGAGCAATACAGAAGCTGGACATTTGACAGACAACCTCCTGATTACAGCTTCATTTCTTTGCGCTCTTTGAATAGCAAAGTCATCAAAGAGCGATTTGCATGCTGATACTATATAGGTGCCTTATCATATCCCTTATTACAAGAGCTGACAGTATGAATGTGTGTCAAAAAGGGTGCTATTGAGGAATATCTGAGAGAGCATAAAAAACGAGTAACCGCAGAGCACTAAGTTAAGTTCCATATCATTGTGCAGTTTATCTTCTCGATCTGAACTGATTTCTACAACCTTTATTGTATTTATATCAATGAGCTGATTGAGCAATACAGAAGCTGGACATTTGACAGACAACCTCCTGATTACAGCTTCATTTCTTTGCGCTCTTTGAATAGCAAAGTCATCAAAGAGCGATTTGCATGCTGATACTATATAGGTGCCTTATCATATCCCTTATTACAAGAGCTGACAGTGTGAATGTGTGTCAAAAAGGGTGCTATTGAGGAATATCTGAGAGAGCATAAAAAACGAGTAACCGCAGAGCACTAAGTTAAGTTCCATATCATTGTGCAGTTTATCTTCTCGATCTGAACTGATTTCTACAACCTTTATTGTATTTATAGAAGAGTACATGACACTAAAACTCTGAAATGAAACTGTCTTTATGTATCTGTCACTAGTTCGGTCTCTCACGTGATGGAAAGGGCAGCAGCTGAACTCTCCGGTGAGATCCTGGCAGCATGTCTGGCCTGCCTCACACACTTCATTGTTGGGGTACTGCGAGCACGCAACCAGAGTCACCAGAGCGAGGCCTAATGTCACTTTCAACATCTGGATGGAAAGAGATAGAGTTAACACATTAAAAGTAACAGATTTGAAATATGAAATGTGTCTGATATGTTTTAGCGGAAAATGACACAAACTTTCATTGTAACCCATCAGACCTTTATATCTCAGATGCAGGGTTGCAATTTAACAAACCTTTTCAGATGTATAATTCACTGTCTCCTCTTTTGTTGAGCAATAACAGTGCACGTATATCATTTTAATTCTTGTATCACTTCCTCTTTCACATCTAGAAATTTGAAGCAAAAGCTTACCAGAGGAACTATGCTGACCTTAGAAACAATAACTGAAACTCAGGTTTATAAATGTCTCAGAGAAAGTGGCTCAAAGTCAGCAAAATACATTTTGTTAGACAGTTGAGCGTCTTTATTTATTTTTACTTAACTGGGCAAACCAGGGCATCAGTCAATTAAAACTGTGCAGTTTTATTTCCTTTTCTTGACAAAAGAAATCCCCCCTTATGAACGCCAACCCACATTGCGACTGAGAATCTGGTTTTAGTACCTAGGCTTCTATGGCAGCAAAAAGGGGAAACTGTGAATGTGGTATTTTACCTTTTTTTTTTTAGTCACTGATTCATTTTCAGTTGCTGTTTCTCACTGAGCATAATGCTTAAATTAATAATCCATTCATTTCATAAAGAAAAATGTAATCTCTTCTGAAGTAAAAGAAAGAGAGAGGATGCACTTCAATTCAACTTACTATTAATTGTTAAATGAACAGGTGGATTTGTAAACGGCTGAAGGTGAATGACCAGTCCGTGGATCCGTGGGCTCCAAGTTACCGATCTGTGGGCAGACATAAATGTTTTAGTGTTTTAGAAAAATTTATTAATTGATTAAATTCATCATTCCGTTTAATTCTCTTTTACAGTTTACTACATCGATATGCTACATAAAAGTGAGTTAGTTTCTTGTAGGAAAAAAATCTGCTATAGCAACGAGTGACGTCTAATTCTGCATAATAAATCACAATGAGCAAAGCACTTTTGCACAACATTTTTACCATGCTGTTTAAAAAAGCACAAAGGGTGTCTGAGACGAACGACGGAAATACAAGACCTACCTTGTCCCCTCGCAACGTTTCCACACTGTGCTTGAATTAATAAATGCTTGCTCCTTAAAATGTAGTTCTGCCAAGCTCCGCCTATATTAGAGGGCAGCCTTTGGATAATGTAACGTGTCATCCGTGTTTGATTCCTTGGAAATGTGCATGGCAAGATGACTAGTTACTAGATGAATCTAAACTAAACTAAACTAATCTAAAATAAAATAAAAAAGCTGCATGGTATTCGTACCGCCCTAGAGTAATTACTTTTTACTTTTTATTGCTCTCATTTGTAAGTCACTTTGAATAAATTAATAATGTAAAGTCTGTTAAATTAACCTAATGCAAATATTCTATTTAGAATGAAAAATAGCGTTTAATTTATGGCAACATCAGCACAACCTGAACTAAGAACTGAAACCTAGTTTTCCTGTAGCCTGCAACTTCGGGTACAAAATCCCAAACTATAATTTGGTGCCCCTATCACAGTGAATATCAACCTTATAGATTTTTTAAAACAAATATCCATATTTATTGTAGGTACATTTTGATATGCAAATTAATAGGCTACTGATATAGGCTACTGTTAAAGAAAGATCTTATTGGTCAACACCACCCCCTGGTGAATAGAGCTTGTAAATATATTTTTCAACGATTAATACCTGAAACGAAAGCGAAATTGCTCTTTCTACTGTTTGCTTCATCCCGGTAAGGGTTTCATCTGTTTATTTATAATTAGGCCTATGCACAAAATAAATGATCATGACACAACAAAAAATATATACAGTTGTTTTTAACGATACGCGTTACAAAAAGTTACTATGTTAATTGTGTGATGTTTTGTTAAAAAAAGGCAGTCGTGTAAGACGCAGCGTAGGCTATATGACAAGCGAAAGAATTTAATGTCAGCATTTTTCCTCATTGTTTTCAAAAACGAACAATAATAAGTGTATGCTGGCACCTAATAAAGTGTCTAATATATTTCATTTAAATTGTTTTATAGCGCTTTTGGCGACGTCAACAACACATGCTGTTGAACTTCATGTAGTTCATAGGCCTACTAAAGCTTAAGTTTAGTAGCCAGACATAACCAGCTATGTTCAGACGTTAAAAATATTCAATTCGATGAAAAACAAGGTGGTCATATAGATTATAAACTCTTCTGTCCTAGATAACAGTGCTTTGTGTTTGTTCACAGGTTCTTGCGTAGGTAGAAATGTCTGCTGAGGTAAAGGAAGTTCTTCTGGTAAAGACTTTTTTTTTTGGCATTCGACGCTCCATTCAGTACAATGACCCTGTTTGTCCATTTAGGATTTCAGCATTGTTACAGACGGCGAGTCTTTGAGATGTCAGGACAGTGTACTGGAGATCAACAAATACAAGGTGTGTAAATGGCTTGTAAAGTACCTGTCGACCAGAATACAAGTTAGGCGTATTAATCATTATGTCATCTCATCTGTCCACAGGCACAATATGAAGCAATACTGAAGGAACAACAAATACTGAGAGATGGCATAGATACCAACAAATACTATGCCAAGGAATTTAAACAACGAGCTAATGAAAAGAAAGCATTATGTGAAGAAGAAAACAAGAAACGTACTAAGACAACTCAGAAAGAGAAGGTCCGTAAAAAAAATGACCAGACACTCATTATATCCCTTAATTTAAAGACATTAAAAAAAAAAATGTGGTAATGGGTTCCTCGGTGCAGGAGAAATGCAGAGCTGTACAGGAGGAGAACACCAAGCTGCAGATGGAGATCCTGAAAATAAAGGAGGAGATGCAAAGCCTGGACTGTAAAAACAGCAGTCTGAAAAAGCAAACTGAGGTTTAAAAGTGTCAAAACAAATATATTCACGCTTATTTTAGCTGCAACCATTGAACTGAATAGGCTGTGTGGCTCTACAGTATATCAGTACAATATGTTGAAATACTTTTTAGTAATAATCTTAACATCTTCTATATTTCCCCTTATATTCATTTAAATTTGAACCTAAAGTTGCAATGTTTATTTGAAATAAAATCCATGGACACTTTAACAACTGTGAGATTATTAACGAGGTGACCAGGTGATTAACGATTATTATCTACATTGACTCCACAGATCTCTACAGCGGTGCCTGAGAGGAAGGTTGTGTTTCGGGGAAATACAAAAGAGGGAGCCCATGCTGTGGGTTTTGATGTGAATCCCCAAATAGTTTATCCGATGGAGGGTGGAACAGCACTGATCACCTTCGAGGAAAAGGATGGTATGTAATTGTCCAAACTAGCATCATCACAATAAAAAACAATGTCAAAAGTGCTTAAAGGTTCACCTGTGATAAAGAACAATTCATCATAATTTACTCACGCCATTCCAAACCTGTATGACTTTTTTTCTTCTGCGGAACACACAATAATATATTTTAAGGAGTTTTTCTACTGTTTTTGAACATACAATAAAAGGCTTTTTTTGCGTCAGAAACAACACTGACTGCAAAGCACTGCATTGTTATTTGAAGGCCCACTCTTAACTTATTTTAACATATGGCCACTCTTTGTTGCTTTAAATTAATAACTGAAAGTAACTAAAATAATTATAATTTAAATTTTAAAAAATGTAGTTTAAGTTTTAGTGATACAATTCTTTTCAACCAGTGCAGTCTTCTAGTTGTTCGTAATGTACTAGAAAAATATTATTTTTGTATTTTTATATGAATATATTTAAGATTTTACCTAATAAACACACACAAAAAAACATTATGTATAATATATACATTATAAAAATGGCATCCCTTTTTAAGATTTTATAGATTTTTCACATAATTGTCTTGCTTTAGAAATCACACTTTTATAATTAGGCTTCCTCATATATTCAGGTTTTCTAAATCTGTAGAAAATGACTATAACACATACCAGGGCCTCTTGTGGCTTATTGCTTTAACCTCTCTTCAAATCTCTTCTGATACTACATCTTAGTGGCTCAGAAAATATTGAACCTAAAGGATCATTCGGTGCAACTTGGAGAATGTACCATCAATGTGCAGGCAAAACCCATTCAATTCCTGGTACCCAGCAATGTTGAGGTAATGGAGACACGCTGACTTCCATTTACCAACATGGATTGTTTATTTTGGATTGCATTGTGTTCCTATGGACTAATGTGAAATAAAACGACGCTCTCTCTCCATCTGTTAGATGGAAACACAGGTGTGCCCACGCAGAATCCTAGTCTCCAACCTGCCAAAGGAAGAACCCGAGGATAGAGTACTAGACAAACTGGACATCCATTTCTCTAGGAAGAGGAATGGAGGTGGCGAGGTGGAGGACACTGACATGCTACATGACTCTGGCACTGTGGTCATTACCTTTGTAGATGATAATAGTAAGTTAACTAAATTCATTCAGTCTGACACATCTCAGTGCATGATGCTTGAGGTGTTTTTTTTTTAATTGTTAGTTTCTATTTGTCTTCAGTTGCCAAAGGTCTCTCCGACAAACAAGATCATGATGTAGACTTTGGTAAGAAGAAGCACAAGGTGAAGGTCACTCCATTCCTCAATGGTGAGATTTCACAGATGAAGGTAAGAAGAATCGAGTATGTCGCAATAATTTCAACTGTTAATGCTGCATAGTTTATGATATAAGCTGACTGTTGCTCCCTGTCAGATCTGTGACTCAGAGTGCATGCACACAGTGCTGCTGACGGGCATCCCTGACATCATGGACAAAGATAACCTGCAGGACAACCTGGAGATCCACTTCCAGAAGACGGCCAATGGTGGCGGAGAGGTGGAAGGCATCGTCTACAACCCTCTAGGCCACACCACCCTGGCTTTGTTTGATGAGGACAGCCAGAGTGAAAGCTAAAAACCTCTACAGCCCAGAGATCCAATGCTGCCTTTAGGCTGGTGCACACTAGACGATTTTAAGGCCGATTTTAAGCCGAAAAGATTTTTTGGGGGGGGGGGGGGGGGGGGAGAGGTGGGGGGTGGGTGGGGGGGGGGGGGGGGGGGGGCCTCAGATTCGCGGCTTGTCGCAAACGAGTTTTTGTCCAAAAAATCCTCTATTGTGTGGTGTCATTATAATTATTTATCTGCTCCCGATCGAGACGGAACATCCCCGAACTCAGTCGTAAATATATCAAACATGTTTGTTATTTACTGGGCTGCCTCTGACGTGATACCCGCGATAGCCAATGAGAACGAGCAAGCGTCACCTACTGGATGTTGCGTGCTTCTATAGCTGAAACTTGGCAGCCACAAACATACCATGAAAGCAGAGAACATCACCCATATTCTTTGTTATACTATTATAAGGCTAAAAATCGGTTGAACTGTCTTCATGTCTGTGGTCTCCCACGGTTTTAAAATCGGTTAAGATTTGAAAATCGTCTAGTGTGTCCCAGGCCTTAGACAACAAAATAGATCCTTAATTCATAATGGACTTTATTGAACTCCTAATTTGGATCCATCTTGCAAAAAGTTATATAGTATGTATCTCTTCACCTCTTATTTTCTGTAATCTTTACTTCTCTTTACCTATTATAGTAATATACTTAATGGATACAAATTTTTAGTTTTTACAATTCTTAGTTGTATTTCTTGTCTTTTTAAGATGAAAGATGCAATCAAATTGGGGTATGGTTTATGAGTTAATCGGAATCACAGGAAAGATTTATCAAAATGTTATCTGTACCCAAAAACAATAAAATCTTAAAAAGAACAGTCTTTAATAAATGTACCAAAACTATAGTGTGATGTTTGCAATACACAAATAGGAATCTCACGAAACCAAATCTAAAAGAAAAAAAGAAAATATATTCTGCACAATGAAATGAAGGTTATTTGTATTTTAAGACCATATATACAGGTGCTTCTCAATAAATTAGAATGTCATGGAAAAGTTCATTTATTTCAGTAATTCAACCAGAATGCAATAGTGCTAGAATAGCACATGTCCTTAATGTGTCACTGATTACTTGAATATTATCGTATTGCAATCTAGATAGATATTAATGTTTTAGAGAACACATGAAGGTGAGAGTTGAAAAACTTCCCCCTTTTCATTCTTGTTTCTCACCCATTCTCTAGCAAGGTCCAGCAACGACTGCCTGGTCACTCCTGGAAGAATGATGCCATCCAGTGGAGGGGTGACCAGTTCTTTCTCTATAAAGAAAGAATGCAATAGTGCTAGAATAGCACATGTCCTTAATGTGTCACTGATTACTTGAATATTATCGTATTGCAATCTAGATAGATATTAATGTTTTAGAGAACACATGAAGGTGAGAGTTGAAAAACTTCCCCCTTTCCATTCTTGTTTCTCACCCATTCTCTAGCAAGGTCCAGCAGCGACTGCCTGGTCACTCCTGGAAGAATGATGCCATCCAGTGGAGGGGTGACCAGTTCTTTCTCTATAAAGACTGCAGAAGCTTTTAATTCAAAGTTTCTAGAAGCTATTCTCCCTCTCACCTCCTTTCTCTGTGGTCCAGTAGATGAAGAGATTCATGGTTCCAACCTCCGTGATCTCCTCATTCTCTCCGTACAGCCAAAGGACCTGCTGGCATTTCTGCTTGGCCGCCTCACTCTGAACAGCAATTGTCGGCCCGTAGTTACTAAGAAACATAAAACCACAATCACAGAGATGCATTCAGGCCACAAAACATTACTACATTGAAACTAAATATTTTAAAGTAAGAGGTTTATAACGAACAGTGAAAGCACTGCAAATCATAATATAAACAGATAATCTGAACACTCAGGACAGCAGCGCCAGCTTTGCTGAAGAGGACCTTAAATGCATAATGGGACAGTAAGATAAGGACTGATATTAGAGGTGAGTGGGGACAGATACAGCACATAAACAGAAAACCAGAGCTGCATTAGTGTAAAGGGTCAGCAGACTGCAAAGAGTTTACAATGATTCCAAGTTGCAACTTGTACATGACCAGACTACTGCAGCCTGTGCAGGCTAATGCATTTCTCTGAATAACCTGAATGTGAAAAGCTACTTCAAAACTCCCAAGTGGCATGACAATGGTGGAATATACAGTTAGGTCCATATACATTTGGACACTGACACAATTTTCATAATTCCGTCTCTGTATGCCACCAGAAAAGAAATGAAAATGAAAAGATTAAATTGAAGTGCAGACTTTAATTCAATAAGGTTGAACAGAAATATAACATAAAATGCTTAGGAATTACAACCATTTTTATACACAGTCGCCCCATTTTCAGGGGCTCAAATGTAATTGAACAAATAAATATAATCATAAGTAAAATGTTCATTTTTTATATTTTTGTTTAGAATCCTTAGCAGGCAATGACTACCTTAAGTCTGGAACTCATGGACATCACCAGAGACTGGGTTTCCTCCTTTGTGCTGCTTTACCAGGCCTTTACTGCAGCTGACTTTAGTTGTTGTTTGTTTGGGGGTCTTTCTGCCTTTAGTTTTGTCTTCAGCAAGTGAAATGCATACTCAATCGGGTTGAGATCAGGAGATTGACTTAGCCATTGCAGAATATTCCACTTTTTTACCTTCAAAAACTCTGGGGTTGTTTTTGCTGTACGTTTTGGGTCATTGTCCATTTGTACTATGTTTCTTCGCCCAATCAATCAACTTTGCTGCATTTGGCTTAATCTGGGCAGACAGTATATCCCTATACACTTAAGAATTAATCCGGCTGCTTCTGTCTTCTGTTACGTCATCACTAAACACCAGTAACCCAGTGCCACTGGAAGCCATGTACGCTCCACCATGTTCCACAGATGATGTTGTATGCTTTGGTTTGGTTGATCAGGTTGATCTTAATTTCAGCCATCCAAAGAATGCTTTTCCAGAAGTGGTCTGGCTTTTTTTTAAGATGTTTTTTGGCAAACGTCTAATTTGGCCTTGTTTGCACCTTGTGGTGAACCCTCTGTATTGGCTCTCGTGAAGTCTTCTCTTGATTGTAGACTTTGACAGTGACCAGTCTTTCTCCTGGAGAGTGTTCTTCTCTTGGCTGGATGTTGTGAAAGGGTTTTTCTTTACCATGGAGAGGATTCTCCGATCATCCACCACTGTTGTCCTCTGTGGACGTCCAGGCCTTTTCATGTTGCTGAGCTCACCAGTGCGATCTTTTTTCCTCAGAATGTACCAAACTGTTGATTTGGCCACTCCGAATGTTCCTGCTATCTCTCTGATGGATTTGTTTTGTTTTTGAAGCCTAACAATTGTCTGTTTCACTTGCATGGAGAGATCCTTTGACTGCATGATGTGGGTTTAGAGCAACAGCTTCCAAATGCAAATGGCACACTTCGAATCAACTCCAGACCTTTTACCTGCTTAACTGATGTAGAAATAACGAAGGAATAGCCCATGCCTGTCCATGAAATGGCTTTTGAGTCAACTGTCCAATTACTTTTGGTCCCTTGAAAAAGGGGGGAGGTACATATTAAAAAGCTGAAATTCCTTTCCTCCAATTTTGATGTGAATACCCTCAAATTAAAGATCAAAGAGTGTACTTTAAGCCCATATTCAGTATATAACTGTAACTTGAATATGTTTTGATCATCAGCTAAAAGAAAAAAAAAGTGCCTTTGTCCAAATATATATGGGCCTATATCTATATATGCCTTGAGTCATTCAAAGGGCAATGGAGTGTGACAAAAAAATAAGCTCAAGCAGAAGTGTAATTGCTCTTCTGCCATTCATGAACTCACCATTAAAACAAACAAGAAGATGCATCACTATCCTGCAACGAGAAACTGAAAATGGGATCGTCTTACCAACAACAGCAACACTTTCCAACAAAAAACAAACACTTTCTAATGCAACACTACAGAACGGTTAACACTTGAAATATTTTCACTTATACACTTACGGAAAATACAAACTGGAGAAAATGGTTCCAAAGAGTTCAGTGCCATATTTCTGCTTTAATTTAGCAGGGTAAACCCGACAAAGTTTGGGTTTCTGGGTGAGTCGATGTGAATTGCGGCGCTAATAGAGTCTCATGAATACAGAAGACCAACTGCCAAGGCCAGAATTTTCGCTAAAAATAAAAAATTACGTTTCAGTTTGTTTAGTGGTCTGGCTTTTTTTTAAGATGTTTTTTGGCAAACGTCTAATTTGGCCTTGTTTGCACCTTGTGGTGAACCCTCTGTATTGGCTCTCGTGAAGTCTTCTCTTGATTGTAGACTTTGACAGTGACCAGTCTTTCTCCTGGAGAGTGTTCTTCTCTTGGCTGGATGTTGTGAAAGGGTTTTTCTTTACCATGGAGAGGATTCTCCGATCATCCACCACTGTTGTCCTCTGTGGACGTCCAGGCCTTTTCATGTTGCTGAGCTCACCAGTGCGATCTTTTTTCCTCAGAATGTACCAAACTGTTGATTTGGCCACTCCGAATGTTCCTGCTATCTCTCTGATGGATTTGTTTTGTTTTTGAAGCCTAACAATTGTCTGTTTCACTTGCATGGAGAGATCCTTTGACTGCATGATGTGGGTTTAGAGCAACAGCTTCCAAATGCAAATGGCACACTTCGAATCAACTCCAGACCTTTTACCTGCTTAACTGATGTAGAAATAACGAAGGAATAGCCCATGCCTGTCCATGAAATGGCTTTTGAGTCAACTGTCCAATTACTTTTGGTCCCTTGAAAAAGGGGGGAGGTACATATTAAAAAGCTGAAATTCCTTTCCTCCAATTTTGATGTGAATACCCTCAAATTAAAGATCAAAGAGTGTACTTTAAGCCCATATTCAGTATATAACTGTAACTTGAATATGTTTTGATCATCAGCTAAAAGAAAAAAAAAGTGCCTTTGTCCAAATATATATGGGCCTATATCTATATATGCCTTGAGTCATTCAAAGGGCAATGGAGTGTGACAAAAAAATAAGCTCAAGCAGAAGTGTAATTGCTCTTCTGCCATTCATGAACTCACCATTAAAACAAACAAGAAGATGCATCACTATCCTGCAACGAGAAACTGAAAATGGGATCGTCTTACCAACAACAGCCTCGAAAAAAAACAAACACTTTCTAATGCAACACTACAGAACGGTTAACACTTGAAATATTTTCACTTATACACTTACGGAAAATACAAACTGGAGAAAATGGTTCCAAAGAGTTCAGTGCCATATTTCTGCTTTAATTTAGCAGGGTAAACCCGACAAAGTTAGGGTTTCTGGGTGAGTCGATGTGAATTGCGGCGCTAATAGAGTCTCATGAATACAGAAGACCAACTGCCAAGGAACACTTTCCAACAAAAAACAAACACTTTCTAATGCAACACTACAGAACGGTTAACACTTGAAATATTTTCACTTATACACTTACGGAAAATACAAACTGGAGAAAATGGTTCCAAAGAGTTCAGTGCCATATTTCTGCTTTAATTTAGCAGGGTAAACCCGACAAAGTTTGGGTTTCTGGGTGAGTCGATGTGAATTGCGGCGCTAATAGAGTCTCATGAATACAGAAGACCAACTGCCAAGGCCAGAATTTTCGCTAAAAATAAAAAATTACGTTTCAGTTTGTTTTTCACCAAACCCTATTGTATATCCCCACAACACTTGGAATATGTGACATACAACCGTTCTGTGACACGTTTGCACATTGAAGTTTGATGCTGGTTGCTATTCACTGCCATTGTGTGAGCAGGACTTTTTTTTTTTTATTCTCTTTTTGTGGTCCGAAAAGAAAGAAGGGCATACAGCATTACAACAACACCAGGAGGAGTAAATAAATTTTTTTGTGAAATAATTGTGAAAACCCACCCTCCCATCTTGTATTCTCCAACGCCACCCCTCCAGGCCCGCACATATCGAGGATCTGCCAGCAATGACACCGGACTAAAGCCTCCAGTTGCAAAATAAGGTCCAACAGGCCCAATGATGACGAAGAGCAAAGCATGACCTGCTCGAGACACACCTAGGGAAGGCTGCAAAAAGAAGGAGGGTCACCATTAAAGATAAAAAGACCAAAATCATTCAGTAAATTATATTTTAATACCGAAAGTTTCTTACTTCAGTTCCTATAAACGTTGGTCTGATGTACAGGCTGGCATCTGTGGAGTAAGGAACCCATTCTCGGTCGATCTCAACCAGTTTATTGATACACTTTATCAGTTCGCCCTTATCAAACAACTAAGAGAGATACAGAGAGAGAACATGCTGATGGAGATGGGAGAGGATATGGCACACAGATTGGCTAAGTGGAAATGTGATAATATCATAAGGCATTAGTCAATAAGCTGAAGTAATGCCTTATGGAATAAGATAAAGTCTAACAGGCAGACAGCTCCTCTCGGTGCTCCTGTACATGCGCTCCATATTCAGCATAGGCCTGAAGAGACGGATACGGTTATCTACTCCCCGGAAAGCCTTCATGCCCTCAAATAGCTGAGAATAAAACAGAATATCAAAAATAAATAAATAAAAGATTCATAAAAAATAAATAGGACAAATTTTGGGAAATTAGTCTTAAACATTAGTAAGCCCTACAGTTCACTTCGGTTCAAAATGGATCATATTAAATAAACTTATATTAAGACAAGGTCAAATAGCTGTGTAGAACATCCATGGAAATACTAGCTGCAGCAATACAAAGACTCAGCTTTAACAAGCTCACCAAGGCAGTTATTTTAAAAAATACAGCAAAAATATTATATTATTACAATTCAAAATAGCCATTTTCTATTTTTATATATTTTACAATGTAATTTGTTCTTATGATGGCAGCCATTACTCCAGTCTTCAGTGTCACACGATCCTTCAGAGATCATCTAATATGCTGATTTGGGGCTCAAATTCTTATTGCTATCAATGTTGAAAACAGTTGTGCTGCTTAACATCTTTGTGGAAACGTGATTCATGATTCCTTTATAAATACAGGAAAGAACAGCATTTATTTGAAATAAAAAATATTTTGTAAACTTGTTAATGTTGTTGCTGTCGCTTCGCTTTTGCTGAATAAAAGTATTAATTTATAAAAAAAAAAAAAAATGCTGCTTAACATCTTTGTGGAAACGTGATTCATGATTCCTTTATAAATACAGGAAAGAACAGCATTTATTTGAAATAAAAAATATTTTGTAAACTTGTTAATGTTGTTGCTGTCGCTTCGCTTTTGCTGAATAAAAGTATTAATTTATAAAAAAAAAAAAAAAATCATACTGACGCCAATCTTCAGAGAGGTATTGCATATAACATCATTGTCGAGCTGCATAATTAACTATATAATTTAATGTAATATAAAATTAACTAATTTGATAAGATGTTTAAGATTTAGAATTATAAACAACTTATACTTACATAAAATAATTATTATTATTAAAGGCAATATTTCGAAAATTAATGATTGCAATTGCAACATCAAGAAAAAAAAAACTGCAGACATTTCATTTCTATGTTGTGGCAGAGCATCTGATAGAATTCAGGTAAAAACACCAGACTTGGGAAATAAAGTCAATTTTATTTTGAATAAATGACAAAAAGGTAGTAAGAGCCATGTGGCTCACACACTCCCTCACCTCTATGGAGTAATGCAGGGCTGAGGAAGCAGGGTGAAGGGACAGATTCTGGAAGGGCTTGATCTGAGGTGCCTGCCATCCTCCTGCTTCAGACCAGCTGACTGTCAGCATGTGGTCTGAAAACTGCTTGCCGAACACAAGGGTTGAGGGGTCTGGCTTTGGCTTCAGTGCAGGGTTCCTCTCTATGGTAAGATCTGCAGCCTGACACAAACAACCGGGGAGAGAGAGAGAGAGA